AGTTCAGAGGTGGACGTAGATGTTAATATCTTGATGTAAGTTGTAAGAATGAGTATACAAAAAGATCAAGAATTTTTCCTATGTAACAATGAAAAAGTATAAGATAATGCTTTGAAATGGAAAAAATTTAGTTAGTGGAAAAAGAATCACTTTTAATTAGTGGGAATGTCTTATGGAGAAAAATTTCAGCTGGATTACATAAGAGCATTTAGTCAGGCACCTTTGAAAAGGCTTTACCCATTTCAGTTCATTTAACCTCCTGGGAAGCTCTGTGATGTAGGTAGTGTCTGTTTCATGTGAATTTCAGGTGAAAAAAGTGAGAAACAGTCTCCATCCACATAAGTGCATGTAAAGAGGGTTGATCAGAGCTCAGTGTGGGTCAGGGGTCGGGTCTGGGTCAGAGCCCAGATTCCCTGTTTGCTCTGAAACTTTCGACAAGCCGCCTCACCAGTGTTCTTGTTTGTAAACCAGGACTGGTGCTATCATTCTCATATAGCTCTGAGGAATGCTTTAGATAAGGTATCAACATACTTTGGAAAGGCTGGCCCACATGGGAGATGAATAATTATTCATATATGGTAGATACTACAATATAATTTTTATAAATATTGCTATGCGATGCTACATAAATACCAACAACATAACTAGCTGTAAGTACCCATATTGTCGTGATAAGACTAACATTATTATTGTTGCATTAAGACTGTAATAACTATTTTACTAACATAAGTAGATGTTCAAAGGTAAACTTGGGTTTCCTCAGGACGCACTGAGTTCCCTGACATTGGGGGCACCTACCCTTAACTTGGAAGACACTTGGATGATGTGTTTACGGAAGGAGTGGGTGGGGCTGGGACAGGCATGAGGGTGAGCGCTGACCAGGCTTGGGATGATACAGCCCCAAATCCCTTCTAGCGAGAGAGGTTTTATGTAAAATATAATCATTAGGGAGAATTAATCTTAGCGGGGAAAGCTTATGTTCTGAGAGAAGGAAGGGAATTCCTGACGACCTCACACAGCCTCACACATATTTTCCTCTTCTGTCCCAATTCTAGTCTGGCCTTTGCCAAATGCCAGTGTAAATTCTGCCAAGATCAAGATGGCAGTGATGTGAGCTCTCCTGGGGCCTTAGACATCTAGGATTAAAAATCGGACAGTCCCATCAAAGGCAAGGAGGGTTGAGAGGTTATCGAGGCAAGACAAGCTAACAAAAGCTTTGGTTCGGATGATCTGCATCAGATGTTGCTGGAGGTCTAAACTCATAGTAGGCCAGAGGGGATTTTCCTGAGCGCTAAGTAAATCTCAAACAGCAGACGCCAAGGAGGGACAAATGGTGGCAGCAGGTGCTTCTCAGGGAGATTTTATACAACCTGGGGAAGCACAGAGGATCCTATTTGTTCAGGTCCTGATTTTAGCCACGTAGGCTTCCTGAAAACAAAACTAAAGATAGACAACGCAAGAAATACGGCACTCCAAATTTGGGCCCTGAACCTGGAGGCTCTAAAGCAGGCCCTGGAGGACAGAGAAGGGTGCTGGTTTTCTGAGAGTGCGCCAGCAGCCACAGAGCACCGATTCATCGCCTTAGGGAAGCCTGCATTCCTATTTAGGCTCCTGCACTCACATGTCACCGAGGACAAATGAGTGAAAGGGTTTCTTCCTCAGTGAAATCAGAACAGTCATTGCCGCCCTTTGTCCCAGGCTCCTCCTGAGAATGCGAATGCTTTGCAGTCTGAAGGGCTAGTCCAACAGTGGAAACTCCTGTTTGCAGCTGACTCCCCCCTGTCCCTGCAGCCCAGGCTTGTTGCTCTCCCCACTGTGCCTTCATCCCATTGACATTTACAGAACACATTGTATAGAGAGCAGAGTCAGACATGCATATGTAATTACTATTACTATTATTATTTTTTGTAAATCAATCAAAATTACTCCTATTTTTGTAAGATTAGCGAAAAATATATTTTGTGGTGTGCCACAGAATTTTAGCGGTTAGTATGCATGTGCCATGAGATGGAAAAAGTTAAAAATCGCCGAGATGATGAATTAAAACACCTCACATGCTTGACACAAACTAACTGCTCAAAAACGAACACACAGAGATACACCCTTATGAAACAGACACAGTTACGATCCCATTTGACAGATGAGGAAAGGAATCACCGAGGGATTTCACAGTCTGCTCAGGGCCACCCTGGTGCCGAGTGAAAGGGCTGGGGTTATGTCAGGAGAAATTGCGTTTATTACAGCGTGTGACAGACAGTGAACATTCAGCAAAGTGTAGCTATTTCTCTTATCAGCCCTAAGGATTTATGACTCTGCTCTCTACACACTGTGTTCTGTAAATGTCAATGGAATGACCCGTCTTTCTGAAAAAAACAAGTAATGCCCCATCGCCCCAAAGGTTTCCACTCTCTAGTCTATTCCCCAGGAGCCAAATTGCCATTTTATCATCATAGTCTGGGAACCAAACTGAGAGTGAGCGTTCCCATCTTGATACTGTTCATATGCTCTCTCTTCACGCCGGGGCCTTGGAAGCACAAGCCTATTTATTTTAATAAAACTGTTTTATGACTTGTTTGCCCCCGAAATTCCCTTTGTTCTTCGGGGAAGGCTGCTGACAGGCGGGGAGGCTTTGCGTTAGCCCCAGTGCCGGGACTGTAATTAACTGCCAAGGAGAGGGAGACAGGGAGGCAGCCTGCAGAGGGGAGGATAAGGCAGTGCCTTTATTCAGGAGGCTGGCTTCCCGTCTCTTGTCAGAGAGCTAGGGGAGATTACGCTGACCTTCTCGACTTAGACCCCAGTGCCAGGTCCTGGATAAACAGGCATCCCTGCCCAGGCTCAGGTTACCCCTTTTAAAAGACTTGAATGTGTAGGAAATTGGCAGCGGCGGGGCCCTCAGGGCCTCTGCCTCTCTGAAATCTCCTGAGTTTGTTCTCTGTAAATCAGTGGCAGTCTACAGTTACCAGTCTCCACGCCAATGCGCATCCTCCTATGAATGTTGCTCATCATCCTGTCCTGATTACAATTAAAGGAGTCTGCTCTCTTGAAATGTGACGTTGCCCCTGGGAAAGTTAAAGCCAGTGGAATGTTCACAGGCTGTCAGAAGAGGAGGAACCGCAGAGTGGAGTGTTCGTCAACATGAAGGCGGAGAACCGCCTGCGTGGGGATTGTCTGCACTGTTTGTTAGAATTGGAAATCGTGGTCCTCCCTCCACCTATTTCATCAGAATCCTTCCAATGTGGGCCCAGGGACTTCAATTTTTAATAAGTTCCCCCAGGTTATTCTAAGGCACAGTGATGCTTGAGAGACACAGAGATGGAGAAATTGATTCAGTCATGTAAATTACAGAAGGAGACACTGAGACACTTAAATTTGTCCCTGAAGAGAGATAAAGAAAATGCCTTGGTCTTCTGACTTGCAAACAATTTTTTTTTTTTTAAAGAAAACAACAACATCATGTTCTTTGTACCTTCATGGGAACTAAAATATTTCCTTCACAAATTTTACATTGGAGTTTGTTTATCCCAGGTTAAGGTTTTGCCAAGACAGGAGGCAAAGGGCTTTGGGTGACCTAATATTTATTATGGCTGGCACCAGGAGAAATAGATTTGGAGGAAAATAATAATTAACATTTCATAGAAATGTCAAGGAAGAAGAAAGATAAAACAGAGTGAGGGTATTTGTTGGTTTGTGATCTACAGTTTGATCAAGAACAGTTTCTGCCAAGCAAAGAATTATCTAGAGAAGGCATGGTAGTGCGGGCACGGTTGTGCCCAGTTCACAGGAAGCAGACCTGCCTCAATCCATGCTGAAAATTTCAAAATGCTCTCCTACCCATGACCCTGTGATATCCACACAGCTCTGGTGAGGTGAGTGTTAGCAAATCCATTTATGAGATGCAGAGAATTAAAGAGACATTCCTAAGTCCAGTTAGTGACCGATTCAGTGTAGACCATATTAGAGAGAATATTACTATTACCATTTTTTGAGAGTTTACTATGTGCCTGGCAGCTCTCTGACACATGAACTTTCCCATTTAATCCTCATAATCACTTTATGTACTTGTCTAACTTAAACCTCATCACAGCTCAAATCACCCTTCATTCATTCCTCAACTCATTAAAAAACAGATGTTGAGCTTTTCCGTTCTGGACATTTATTTGGGATCTAGGGATTCAGAGGTAAATTAAGTCTCTGATTTCGTAGAGATCGACTTGACTCAGGAAAGATAAGCATGAAACAAGAACATAAATAAATATATAATTTTGTATGGAACAAGACAGGAATAGCCAGGCTATGGGGGAGTAACTGGGCATTTATTTAAACAATAAGTAAATATATATAACTTTCTGTGAAATGAATCAAGAATAGCCAGACTCTGGGGAGTAACTGGGCATGTTCTGTGTCAGAGACTGTGGTCAGATGCAGCTGACACCTGAGGGCGGTGAGGATGGAGCCTGGAGCTGTCCTGGGGAGGAACAGGAACAAAGGCCCTCAATGTGATGGTATCTCCCCTGATTCTTCCAAGAGGCTGGAGCAGAGTGATCAAGGGGAGGGATGTGGGAACTGAGTCAGAAGGAGCGACAAGAAATACCCTGTGGTTGGTAGGAAACACTTTGATTCTGGGAGGCAGAGGCAGCCACTGAAGGGTTCTGAGTGACAAGGTGCAGTACATTTTAGAAAGATTGCTCTAAATCCCACAGGGGGGATACCCTATAGAGGGCAAGGGTGGGACTTGCCCAAGTCAACAACTATTAAGTGTCGAGGGGAGGTAGGGGTGGTTGGGGTCATTGTCTCCGTGTTTATTATCTGTTTTCCTGAACCAGGCAGAGATCAGTCTCATGACCACGTGTATCCCTTGCTCAATTCCCTCCTGTCACACACAAGAAACCCTCCATGTGTACAGAAAGGCAATTGGCAGAAAGGAGCCCATGGAGGGGGGCCAGTAGGCAAGAGCCGGGTCAGCGCCACGCTGCGGGCTGTGACTCAGGAGCCTCACTCACCTTGGACTTCTCTTGGTGCAGCTCTATCTGGATGTCTGTGAGCTTGGTCCTGAGGTCTTCATTGGCAGCTTGAAGGGCGACGATGAGCGCCTCGGGCTTCTCGCCCTTATTTCGCCCTTTCTTGGACATTGTTCCTTTCTAAATGGAGTCTGTTGGTTTTTAAGTCCTTTCACACGGGTGCTGCCATGTTCCTGTTTCTTATCCCGGAGTGCGATGTTTCAGCATCTACTGCGTGGTGGTCCTTGGTAAGGTCTCCTTAGCCGCTGCCCTGGAAGCCCTGGGAAGAGACAGCCGTTACTGCTGTGGCAGAGACCTGGGCGGGTGCCTGACAGTCACCCTCAGCCTGAGCTGCCTCTATGAGTCTCCTCGGGAGGGTTCTTGTCTCCACTATCTCCTGTTCACTCCGCACATGAATTTCCAGCGATCTTTCCAAAGGGCCAGTCTGATCACGTCAGTGCTCTGCTTAAAATCCTTCAAAGACCCGTGAATGTATCTTTCACATCTCAGAGTGCTCTTTATGTCTAACCTGCCCATTCTCCTTGCCTTTCTGCCTCCATTTCACTCACTTATATTCTAACCATAAGGAATGTCTTTTAATTTGCTGATTCTTGCTCCCTTCCCATAGGACTTTTCCTATTCTATTTTCTCTTCTCCAGCCTCTGCCCAGCCTCCTCACATGATCCTCCCTTATGTCCTCCTCCTCACACCCTGCCACACACACAGTGTAGTTTGACTGGCGTTTAGGACTCTTTCAGGTCTCAGCTTCCACATCAGTTCCTCCTGGAAACACCCCCTAGGTTATTACGTGCCCTTCTTGTTTAATTGTGGTCACCACCATGAAACTGTAAACTTGGTGAGGACAGAAATGTGTTGCTCTTACCTACTACTTGCTTCTCAGTATCCATCATAAGTCCTGGTACATACCAGGTATTTAATTAGTATTTGTAAAAGGAAGTCACCTATGAGAAGACCTCATGATCACCCCATAAAGAGCCCCAACTTTAAGACATTTCTATAAAGACCTAGAATTATACAATAAATAAATACACTGTGAGAAGTGAGGATAATTTTATACTGGGTTAATTGGGTCACTCACATTCATTCAGTCAATATTGTGAGAGTTCCTTCTATATGCTATGCTAGGCACAACATGTTGAAATTGAAAATAAGAGTTTCAAGGCAAAAAAACAACAACTCAACAAAACCTCTATATTATCTATTTATCTATCCATCTATATCATCATCATCATCTATTTGATAACTGCCTTTAAAAAATAAACAGTTGTCTCAGGGTATAGATAAGATTTCTTCTTGGAATGGAATAAGAAAAGCTCCCTGAATAAGGCTGCACTTGAGGAGCGAGTAGGATGTTAACAGATGGAGAAACAGGTGAAGCATCCTGGATGAAAGAAATGGCAGGTGCTGAGCTACAGCAAATAGAAAGCACAGTAACTATTTTGTGGTTAAAACGGGGGCTTGATTCATTACAACCTAAGATATGATTTGTGGGCACTAATGTTGAAAACGTTGCCTTGAAATTTCCAATCGTGGGAGACCTGGGATGCCAACCTGAGAATTTTGGAATCTTTTTTTTTTCAATAAGCAATGGGGACTCTGTTGAAGTTCTGGGCAGGTGGATGGCATAACAGAGCAGTGCTTTGGTGTGGTTATTCTAGTGGCAGAGTGGGCAGAGAATGGAGGGAGGGAGCCTGCCTATTGAACTTGCTAAGGTGGAGGATAATGAAGGCTTAATCAGAACAGCAGCAAAAGGAGAGAAATAAAGAGGGATGGTCTTGCTTTACAAATTGTTAAATGTTTCACAGGAACAAAGCAGGTTAGAAAAATATCAATACTAACCTACCAAAGTCAATGGAGCCCTAGCCGGCTTGGCTCAGTGGATAGAGCGTCAGCCTGCGGACTGAAGGGTCCCAGGTTCGATTCTGGCCAAGGGCACATGCCTGGGTTGCAGGCTCGATCCCCAGTAGGGGGCGTGCAGGAGGCAGTCGATCAATGATTCTCTCTCATCATTGATGTTTCTCTCTCTTCTCCCTTCCTCTCTGAAATCAATAAAGAAATATATATTTTTTAAATTCAATGGAAAAAACATGACAAGATACTAGAGAAAGTTACCCATGCAGCCTTACAGAAAATTGAGTATTGCGTACATAGATGTGCTTCAGCCCAGGACTAAGGGGAATTCCTACTGATCGCACATATGTTCAGGCAGCTGCTTCTCTCTCAAGACCCCTGGTATTCAGCCTTGAGGACCATGCTGGGATCCTGGGCTTTCTGCCACCCACCCCCCTGCGCACTGGGGCCTTGCCTTTTGGATGTGTCCCCGGAGAAAGGGGAGAGGGAAGAGTTAAGGGATAGGGAGAATATGCCTGTCTCCAGTAGTCATGGAACTGTCCACCAATATCCCACCCTAAATTAGGTGCTGGAGTTGTCCTTTGTGCTTGTTTTGCAAGTGTTGCCAAATCATTAAAGTGCATGCCTGGGAGACTTCTGAGAGGCATCATTCTTTGCTTTTAGAATTAAAATGAATTCAACAAGCATTATTGAAAATGCGTATGACAAACACCACTAGACACAAAGATAAATAAGACAGCACTTAACTTCAAGCAGGTATCAAGTGAGGGAACCCACATGTCCATGTTTAGCAGGTTTCTCTTTCTCTAGTTGGTCTCTAGATGCTACTGGTCCCCAGAGCTTCCTCAAAGTTATCTCCACTGTCCCCTATAAAGTCATGACCCTCAGTTTTATATCCATAGTCCTGACCATTCCCCAAACCCCAGACTCACATATTCAACTGCTTACTTACCAAATCTACTTGAATATCTGACTGCATTTCAAACCAAACCTAACTAATACAGATGTCTTTATTAATTATCATTCAGAACCTTATCTTCTCCAGGTTTTCCAACTAATGGCATCGCCCCAGGCCCAGGCATTCCAGTTTTAAGTTTAGAAATCATCATTTCTTCTTTTCTCCCTCTTTTATCCGGGCCACCAGGAAGTCCAGTTTATTTTCCCTATAAAATATGACTTACTTTGGTCAACTTCTCTCAAACCCCATACAGGGAAAAACATAGGTCACTTCAGAGCCTTGTCGTTAGTGTTCCTGAATCAAAAATGGTCTCTTCTGTTTGAGACAGAGGAGGGATGGAGGAGGACAGAGCTTGAGGAAAACTTGGAGTCACGAATTTGCCTATTTGGAGAAGGTTGTGAACTGGGAGAAGACAGCCAGTGGTTAGATTGCACAGGTTCCTGTATGACCCATCATTAGACGTAATTGATGATAAGGGAATTTTATTATGTAGACATGAAGAAACATCGCAGCATTTGAATATAAGTGTAACAATAAAAGCTTACGGTGACTGAGTGCTATGAACCTGCCACTAGACTAAGCACTAACATACTACTCTCATTTATGCTCACTAAAAAATGTGGAGAAATGATTGACAGAAAGATTAAGTAAGTTGCCTAAGATGACTGAGTTGCTATGTGGTGAGGTCCAGATTCAAATCCAGGCAGCCTGAGAGAGGCTGGGACCCAGGCTATCATCCCCTGCCTCGTATTTGCATTTTAGAAGGGAACTCTGGAACGTGGTGGAAGTGAAGGTAGAGAGAGAGTATGGAGGCAGGATATCAGTAATGGTCCAGGCCAGAAGTAATGCAGCCCTGAACCGGGCCATGGCCGCGGGGATGAACCGGAGGTGACAACTCTACCACATGGGAGATTTTGATGGAATCATGTCCTACTTTTACACATTATTACTGGTTTTAACCAGTGTCCTCTTCCAGTCTAAATGAGTACCAGCTCTCTGGTATTTCTTGCAGCAAAAATGTACAAGACAATTTTACATTTTAATTTATAATTCTTTTAAAAAAATATAATAGTATGTACTGACTTAATGTATTTTTTGGTCTGTGAATTAGTGTTAAGTTAGGGCTGAGGAAAAGAAATTGGTTTAAAAAATGAAAACATGTTCAGGAGAGAAAAAAGCATCCCAGACAGTTACTGGTAGCATCAACTTATGGATATCTCAAAGTGAGCAGCTGTTTGTGAGTGTGGTCCTACACACCCCGCGGGGGGAGGGGAGCTTTCTAAAGTCTCTTCCCGTTTTGATGGGTGCCCAGCAATCTTCTGATTCTCATATGTAATGTCGCTACAATGCTCTGTCAGCGTGGGCTGCCTTTATTTTTTGTTTTTGGACAGCTTTCACTTATATCTCAATGATGTCACACTTTCAAAGTACATAATTCAGTGATTTTTAGGATATTCACAAGGTTGTACAACTATCGCTGCAATCAATTGTATAACTTTCCATCACCTCAGAAAGAAAGCCTACACCTGTTAGCCGTCATTCCTTATTCCCCATCAAACCCTCCCAGTCCTAGGCTTCCAGCCTATAAAGAGAGAAAACATCCTGGAAAGCAGAGAACGAGCGCATTGGTAAATGCCGTAGCCGAGAGTGCACCGAGAAAGAGGAAGACTTGATGGAGAAGGTGGCATGTGAGCTGAACCTGGAGATGCTGCCCACCTGGCTGGGTTCTTACTTAGTGCAGGAACAATGCAAAGTGCACTAAACTTGAGGAAGACTAACTGATTGAACAACTCCAATGAACTCTTTCAGATATTTACTCTTCTTTTAGACAGGGAAACTGAAGATCAGAGAGGTTGGCTAACTTGAAAAAACTTACACAGCTATGATGTAGTAGAGCTGCAACTCAGAGCGTTAGTGTTAAAAAAACAAAACAAAAACAAAAAAGGCCGAGAAAAGCTCAGAGATCCCTAGAAAGACTAAAGGAATTCATGCTTATGCTTTGGAGGAAATGGGATCAGCACTGACACAATCAGTATTCCCAGGGGTCTTGGCTTTGTAGCTGGTTCTGCCCTAAGCTATAAGCTGAATAAAGCCATTATTAACCTTAGTGTTTCCAATAAGGTTGTTGCCTCTGAGTTATGATTCGAAAAGCAGCTGTAATATAAAATAGGTGGAGTTCATAAGTATGAAGCTAAAGGCTACAAACACTTTTCCATAATTAATATTTGGATATGTCCACTCTACCAGAGCCTGTTCATTTAAGCCCTTCCCCCCCTTCATTTTCAAAGATTATGCTTTAGACTCAGAAGGTGTTACTGTTTAAACTGAATGAATTACACTTACTTTAGTCCTGGTGACCTGTGGACCATGTTATCACTTCTTAAATCCTTCTCTGTGCAGGAAAAGTGCCTCGGTGTGCATTTATTAAGTTGACAATGCAATTTAATATA